TTCTCTAATTATAATTAATGGGTTTGATATATTCCACATAACTGAATTTAGCATCAGTGGACCTTTTAAGAGGAGAATTAGTGAAAGAAAATGTGAACAAGGCCTTGATACCCTTGAGCAGATATTTGAAGGGGTCTAGCAGAAAAAGAGCCAAGAATCATAGAAAGTAGAGAAGGAAATGTAACACTGGGAACTGGGGAGAGACATTAGTGCACACTGCAATGTGTTGTCACACAATTCTGTTAAAGGATACCCTTTTCCCTAATTTTTAACAGTTTCTCAAAGATAATTATGCCCCATGTGGGGAAAAAAATAGGATCAACATGTTTAATTTTGAAATGCAATCTGATACATACTCATTATATATGTAATATTTGTTTTACATAGTACTTATGAATAGAGAAGAAAGTTGCTTTGCAATTTTGCCAGAGGTCATTCATGCTCATCACCCGCTTAACTGTAGTTTCATATCAACTTCCAAAAGCTAAACCCGTGATTTCTGGAGACCACTCAGAGGGACTCTAGAAATGACTTTCTTAAAAGTTATCTAGCCCACACCTTGGACAATAACCTAGAAAAACATAGATACAGAATACGGGCTGCTTGGTTAAAGTTACAATGCCTTCTTCAAGAAACATGCAAACAAGGCAATAGCTGGGCTTGGAATATAATGTGTATCTAGGCAGGAATAGAACTAGAGTAATCATGATTAGAGTAAAGAGATAACATACATATATGACCCTCCTTCTTGTATGTGAAAAACAAAAAGGTAAGAAAGAGAAGAAGCAGCAAAATGAGCATATATTTCCAAGCCATGCTAATTATGATACTATATATTATATATGTAATGTATAAGTAATATAATGAATCAAGGGATTATAAATAGAATTTTAACTAATATGCTCTACAACAATCCAGGTGTTGTATTTTTTTAAACAAGTAAAGTATAAAAAGACATAGAGGATTTTCTTTTTTTGATTTTTGCATATAAAATCTCTGTCGGGTACAAACACATATAAAAAAATTCATTCAAACGATACTTAGTACAGAATATGTGCTCATCACTGTTCTGGATACAGGGCTCGTCTTTCGATAGGTATAAGCTTGTAGTCATAAGCACTTAAATATATATACAGTTCCTTGTTGAATATCCTTCTGCTTGCTTAGCAATGTAATAGCAGCATCATATTTTCTACTTTTACACTCCAAACTGGTAGAACTATTTCAGTCAATTGCTGCATGTCGTTGCAGGAAATACTCCCTCTACCGAGTTTGATTCATAGATGAAGTGCCTCAGACCATAATTATCCATTGTTGAAGTACTAATTTGAGGTCAAATTTTGTCAGGAACTTCAATGTGGAACCAAAATATGCCAGTTTAAACTAAGAAGTATCTCAGATGTCTGCAGGAGACTTTGGTATTAGGGACTGAGAAATAGAAGACAAGAAACAGAAATGTAGCATCATTCACCACTAGCCCTTTCTGTAACCCTATGCCGTCTACAAGAAAGGCATATAAGAAAAGGATAAGAGTTTGCATATACAGTAGTCAAAACTACACTCACTGCACTGCTCAAAAATGTGCCTTAACTGAATTTGCCAAAGATTCAGTAGAATTACAAAACTATTTTGCACTTTTTTTTAATGAGAAAGGTTTTCAAACTCTGGCAAGAAAACAAGCTCAAAATTCAGGCTTTTTGGTTTATTTTGATTTTTTTCTATTGCTTTTAGGAATGAACACTATAAACTTGTATCAGTTTACACTAAAATCATAGTAAGAATTTTAAGAAGGCCAGAAATCTATTGACAGCCAATATAGAGTAGTAAAGATCGTAAGAAATATGGGCTCTGCACCCCAAAATTTATCATGCTTTAGCTTTCCACTTCTTCACCTGAGTGGTGTGTTCATTTTGTGATAATTCACTATGTTGTACATTTATGAATGATATCCTTCTCTATCTGTGTTTTCTATTTTTAGAATGAAAGAAAAAGAGAGGAAAGGCAGAAGGGAGGAATGAGGGAAGGGAGGAAATGGAGAGAAAAAAAGGATGGGAGGAGGGAAAGGGACTGAGGTCAGGGTGTTCAGAACCTTGCATGCCAAAGCTAAGAAAAGGTGAACTTCATGCCACAGGCAAGATGATATTTGTGTGTTTGTTTCAGGAAAATGATATATGTAAATATAATTTTTAAAAATTTATATAGTAGCCAATTTAGCATGAATCAGAAGCAAGAGAACACCATCTCTAGGAAAAATTGGTCTAGTTTAGAAGACATTGAAATAATATAACCAGAAATGTTAAGAACCTGTATTGTTGTATTGACCATAGGAATAATATATTTTAGAAATTTTCATTAGAACTTTGTTACAGCTTCTTTGAGGGTAAGAAATCTGTGATTTATTTCAAGGTTTCAAGCCCAGTTGATTAGAAAAATAAACATATAATTAATGTCAGAGGAGAGTAGAGAGGTTGAACTTGCCTGAAAGTATATCATAAGGATGAAGGTGAGAAATCTGGATTTAAACATATTGCGTTGAAGAAAGTGCTATTGCTCTAGACTGCTAGTTGAAAAAGCATAAACGGAGTTCCACAGCAGATAAGGATTACAAATGCAGATGATTTCATGTTCATATGCATATTAAAATGATTTGGCATGGTTATGAAGGGCAGAAACATCAGAACTGCATTCTTCCACCTCCTTTTCACCACTATTAATGTTGTTCTAACTATATATCATCATGGGAAAAATGATATAATTTATGCTCTGTTCTACTTATATATACCATCAGATGATATCTATAAATTCTTTGTGGGCATAGAAACCTCTTAACACTTGATGAAAAATAAACCTCTTACCTCTTTCTACTAGTGTGGTTGGCTTGGTTTTAAAAAATGATCTCAAATTTTGATCCCTGCTTTAATGTAGTCTCATTTTGACTGTATTGCAAGCTGCCAAAATTTTTACTGAGATTTGCTGTCATCTAAATACTTTTAATTAGAAACTCCTTGAAGATATTTTATTGATTGATTAATATGCTAAGTGTTAATTTTGTGATTTTGGGAACTAATTTCACAAAAATTAGTTTAAGTACAGGTAGGTGACAAATAATCATTAAATCAATATTGTCTCCATATAGACAATCACTCTTAAAACATAAAAACATATGTGGAATTTTCCTTAAAAAGAATGAAAGGGAAAAACTATTTAAATTTTTACCAAGACCTTGGAAAGCTATGATCAGTTTCAGGGAAGCTACCTAATGAACAGTTAGAGAAAAAATAAAGTCAGGTAGGCATGGTGGTTCATGCCTCTAATCCCAGTAGTTTGGGAAGTCAAGGAAGGAGGATCACTCGAGGCTAGGAGTTCAAGACCAGCCTGTGCAACATAGGAAGACCCAACTCTACAAAAAATTTTAAAAATTAGCCTAGCATAGTGGCACACACCTGTGGTCCTAGCTACTCAGGAGGCTGCGGTGGGAGGATTGCTTGGGCCGGGATAGGTCAGAGGATGCACTGAGCCATGATTGTACCACTGCATCCGAGTCTGGGCAACAGAACAATTCCATGACTCAAAGAATAAAATAAAATAAAGTCTAGCGCAACCTCCATTTGTCAGTAGCAAAAAAGGAGGACCACTACCTAAGAAAGAAGATAAACATATTTCTTGGCTTTCAAATGATTATACTAGTTGCCAAAAGCACATTCACCAGTGTCTATTGCCAATTCTAAAAACTGTTCCCAGTCATACAAATCTAGAAATTCCCTGTCAAGTCTTATGTGTTTTCATTCGTCAATCTAATCATGTTATATTCATGAAAATTAACTTAAACACACAGTCACTTTTTCTTAAATACTTTCATAGTATATTCCAACATATTATAAAATACCTTATATATTAAGAAATATAATCACTTGTTGGGACATGTCAACTTTTCTCTCCATACATTTACCATAACATCACATTCATAATTTGTCAACTAACAATAAAAAATAAAGAAAATTACTTAAATTTTTTTCACTTTAGAATTACTATAAAAACAACTGTTTTCTACTGTTTTTGGTTCTGTAAGTATAGAATTATGTATCATAATATCAATTATGAAATAAAATTATCAAGTTATAAAAATAATCTTCCCAATTATCAGAATTTCCAATGGAATGTTAATTCTTCTAGATAGTAAAATCATAGAAAAATAACCCACTGAGAATGAAAACTAAAGAGAAAGAGTAATTAATCAACCAAATAATGTTGAGCTCTATTATGAATCAAGAACTTAGCATTCTGAATGATACAAAATAAATATATAAGATACAGTTTCTGTAATAAGTAGCTTTACCATATTGTTGGATACTAAAATCTAAAAGAAGAACTATGTGTCCTGGTGATATTTCATTGAATATTCCATTCATATTAAGACTACTAGAAATTGAAATGAAGAAAATATCACCCTGGGATAGATAAGCAGGGAAGTATTCATGGGATTTAAACAAGACCTCAAAGAATAAGTAGAAAATTCACAGTTATACAAATTAAGCAACGCATTGTAATCTGAATCTTCCTGTGGAAATCCATTGTACAATTCGTCATTTGGGGGTACAAATTTGAGTGGAGCTCTAGGAATACTATAAACTACAGGTTGGGGGATCACTTTTGTCTGGACATGCTCTTAGTAAGTCAGATCTTTGAGAGGATCTTGCCCTGCTCAGATTCATCTAACTCCAGGCATAGGATCTGATCAGAAATCACTGACTGATACTGCCTGTTTCTTGTCCCATTCCCAGTTCATCTCACAGAAGAAGAGTGTCACCATAACTACCAAAGAGTACAATTCTCTTCTCTCCGGAGAAGATTCTATCATAAATCTCAGGACATTCATCTTTGGCACCTTTCTGCTCATTTATACTATTTGAATAAAATGTGCCACCAAGTAACAGCATACGACTTGCTATAGCAGGGACCAAAAAGAAATATTCAGAGAAGGAAATAAAAAGCACACTCACCTGACAGCATCGGGAACATTTTATCTTAACTCCCTTAATGTTCCTGGGTGAAGATTTCTTTAATTAGTGTTTAAGTGACCCTACAAGTTATTTTGGCAGCTTTCCGAGAGGCACTGACTCCTCAGATGAATACTGATGTTCCTAAAGACATAAACAGATGAGCCAGGTGTGGTGGCACATGCCTGTGGTCCCAGCTATTTGGGAGGCTGAGGTGGGAAGATCACTTGAGCCCAAGAGGTTGAGGCTGCTTTGAGCCGAGATTGTGCCACTGCACGGGATCCAGCCTGGGAAATAGAGTGAGAACCTGTCTCAAAAAAAAAAAAAGAAAGAAAGAAAGAAAAGAAAAGAAAAGAAAAAGACATATATTGAGTTACTATATTCTTTCCTGTAGACTAAAGTGAGAAATTATCCACACGTTTTTTAGGATAAAAAGAATACAAGCATAAATAATATTAATGGTCCATTCTCTTAGATTGATAGATCTGTTATCTTCAATAATGGGAGAAACAGCTTCAATCTATTTAGAAGTCTTAATAAAGGCCTATTTTTAAAAGTGAGTGTTGAAGGCATAAATACCAAAGAGTAAATTTTAGTTCATTTAAAATGGGCCTTAATCCATCAGATTCAAACAGCTTTCAAAATGGTCATGCTGTCAAGTTTCAACTACTTCTTTTTCAAGTTGTACAATGATGTATGAAAATTTTCATAAAGTTTTCAGGTAGCAGGATTTCCATAGAATGTAACCATTACAGATTTAATCTTTGGGCTGTATCTATTTGTAAATGACTCTGAAGGTTATCATGACAGGTAGTAATATGTTATTTTGCTAAAGCACAAATGTGAATTTTATGCAACTGTAAAGCTGTTGCTTGCAGTTAACTAAATTAGTAAGTTTAGTCAGCTGATCACGTGGTATGTGCAGCTGAATGTAGCTTTGCTGTTGTTATTTCTCATCTGATTTAATACTCACAGGCAAAAGTATGGCCATTTACCACAAAGTAATTTTGTCCTAGAGTAATAGTCACATACTGGGGAGTCGGGAAAGCCTTAGGATATGTCCCTTACGAATATTAAGATATATAACATGTTAAATAATGTTATTTAGTCTTATTTTTAACCAATCCACAATCAAAATGTTTGAACTTCTAATACTGTACTACAATCTATACAACCAGAATTCAGTCAATGAATGTTTCTAAAAACATTATATGTGCTGTGAACCTAAATCTGCTCTAAAAAATAGTCTATTAAAAATGACATTATATGGATCATTGGCAAGGTGTTATATAAGTCTAATTTCAAAATATTGTTTAACATTACAGTGCTATTAATACTGAATTTTATTCAAACATCCATAAATTAGCCTAGGAAATCTTAAGCAGAATTTGAATTACTTCTAGCAGTGGTACTGTGATCAGTATACCTAATCTGATTTCCATGAGCAACAATAATGAAAGGTCTCTAAGGAAATTATTTTAAATAAGACTAAAACCATGAATTTAATTTAGTTTTGCATTGGAAGAAACTGGCTCAATATCATCTTAGACGGAAATTAGCACTATTAACTTATTATCCAGAATTTCTTAGATGCCCAATATCTTGAATTTGTGAACCATAGAGCTCACTTTTTAATCTTTCCCAATTTATAAATAAGGAAATCAGAACATGAAGGGAACTTAAGTAATTTGCCCAAGACCACATCTAATAAGTAGCAGAGTTGGTTTTTGAATCCACATCTCTTCATTCAAACTTCAGCAATTTTCACAGTAAAAAAAAAAAGGGGGGGATGTATATTTGTGAAAAGAAAACTCTATTATTGCACTGCCAGAATATTCTTTCCTGTAAACCTAACACCCACATGCTGTATTTAAATGCGATTGTCCTCTACACCAGTTTCCTAGGGCTGCTGCAACAAATACCACAGTCTTGGAAGCTTAAAACAACAAAAATGTATTCTCCCACAGTTCTGGAGGCCAGAAGTCTAAAATCAAAGTATCACCAGGATTGATTTCTTTTGGGGGTTCTGAGAGGGAATTGGTTCCATGCCACTTCTAGCTTCTGGTTGCTGGAAATCTCTGGTGTTCTCTGGCTTGTGCATAATTCCAATCTTTGCCCCTGTACTCACGCGGCATTCTCCCTGCCTGTGTCTTTCTGGGTCTCTGTGTTTTTTTCTCTTATAAGGATATCAGTCATTTTGTATGAGTTTGAGACTAGCCTGGGCAACATAACGAGACCCCCACCTCAGGGAAAAAAAAAATTCATAAGAAAAAAACCCAATTGGTCTAGCTAGGTTCTAGTGTTCAGAACAAACAGCAGTCAGGAACCTGTTTCTTTAGACTCTCTTGGAGGCAAGGGAACTGTTGACTTGTGGGCTAGGCATACTTCTCCAAAAATATCTACTACAGACTCCAAATATGAAAATAAAAAGTTAGATAGACAGATAATGATAAACATATATATGTTCATATGTATGTGTGTATATGAAAAGTTATTAATCAATTTAATTAAATATTAAAATTTTCTAAAACAATTTAACCAACATGCATATATTTGAAACAAATTACTATTTTTGTTATTAACAGACCATGTCCTACTTTATCTGGGTTAAATACACATCATCATTTTAATCTTGCAAATACTTTCTTACAGACAATATTCTAAGTGCTGTTTGACTATACTAAAATCAGTAAAACTGTTACTACTTTCTAGGAATTTGCAAACAAATATGTAGGGAGAATAACAAGTGCACAATCAACTCTTCCAAATTCCTTTTTTCTAAACTTTGGTGGTTCTTTAAGTTTTACTCTTGTTGTCTCTTCTCTCTAAACTCCTCCTTTATCAATCAAATCTCTTCTCTGGCTACAGCTATTACCTGTACATGAATAACCACCAATTCTATATTTCTAGCGCAGACCTCCCACCCAAGTTCCATACCTGCAATTTCTTGAGGTCTGCTGGACTTCGCCACCTATATGTGCCAACAGCCTTTCAAATGCAGGAAACACGTCTAGCAGTTAAGCCAATCCTCTTGCTCTCCTCTTCTCCAAACTTGCACTTCTGTTTTTACTAAAATCAATACCGTTTTCCCAATGTTCCAGTTCCAAATCTTATAATTGCATTTGACTTAACCTTCTCTGATACACATAATCAACTATCAAATTTTGTTGATCCTACTCTAACAATACCAAATTCATACACTTTCCATTTCCACTGCTACTTTTCTAGTTCAAGTGTTTATTTCTTCTAATGTGACTGTAAAAACTTTTCTTCCAATTCTCTTTACCCCTAGTTATGACTCTTCTAGTCCCTCTGTGATTTAAACATTAAAAATTAGCAATGAAATTTTGTTTTCAAATAAAATCATGTATGTGTAATCCCAGCACATTGGGAGGTGAAAGCAGGAGGATTGCTTGGGGCCAGGAGTTCAAGAATAATCTGGTCAACCTAGCCAGATTCCATCTCTACAAAAAATTTTAAAAATTAGTTAGGCATAGGGGTGCATGCCTTAGTGCTAGCTACTTGGGAGGCTGAAGCAGGAGGATCACTTGAGGCCAGGAGTTTGAGGCTGCAGTGAGCTATGATTGGACCACTGCACTCTGGCCACTTGGGCAACAAAGTGACAAACTGTCTCAACAACAACAAGAAAAAAAGAAAGAAAGAAAGAAAGAAGGAAATTCTATTTATGTACAGTGTAGAAAACTGAAGATGCTCTAATTATAAATGACGTTTTACTGATTTCGCTTTAATTTTCTTTCATTAAAATCCAAAATACACCAAACCAGTCTGAAATGACACAGTAAACCACATCTCTATCACCAAATATCAGTAGATAGCCTCGGAAATACTACTCCATAGGATTTTCCAATAGAATTTCTTCCTTCTTTGTTTTATTTCAAGCAACATGAATAAAAATGAATTCCTTGATGCCTCTGAGTTTTGAGGTAAAATGTATAAATTTTTAAAATGCAGCCGGGTGCGGTGGCTCACGCCTGTAATTCCAGCACTTTGGGAGGCCGAGGCGGGTGGATCATGAGGTCAGGAGATCGAGACCATCCTGGCTAACACAGTGAAACCCCGTCTCTACTAAAAATACAAAAAATTAGCCGGGCGTGCTGGCGGGCGCCTGTAGTCCCAGCTGCTCTGGAGGCTGAGGTAGGAGCAAGGCCGTGAACTCGGGAGGCGGAGCTTGCAGTGAGCTGAGATCGCACCACTGCCCTCCAGCCTGGGAGACAGCGAGACTCCGTCTCAGAAAAAAATAAAAAAATAAAATGCTTTAGTAAGTATATAATTTTTAATTTTAGTGCAAAATTTTCCATGGTATTTTAGACTATGAACTAGTAGTGGAATAACCAACACTATTTGACTTTTTGTTTTTATATACTCTGGTTTCCTAATCAAGGAAAACAAAGTAAGCCAAATATTTTTGGTTTTCTCCTCTAGTAGTGTATGTATTGGTAATTCATCTTCCTAAATTATAATCTATTACTGCATGTTCTTGTCATCCCAAGCAAGAACCTGAAACTCGGAAAGATAGAAACTAGTAGCGCATTTTTTTTTCAGCATCGGAGGGTAGTAGTTGCTGAATAACTAGTATTACATTACTGGGTTGCCCCTACCTAGTTTCGTCACATTATACCACTTCACTTTTTAGAAAGCATTACAATATGGCCTTTCTCTTCTTCTTCTTTTTTTTTTTTTTTGATCAGGTTCATAATGTTCAGTAATATGACCTTTCTAAGGAGTTGATCTCACCTATGATATGGGGGTAATGCTCTCTGTTTGTGAATCAAATAACATAAGAATAGTAAAATCATTTAAAAGCTATAAAATAGCAGATACTTTAATATAGTTTTATGTTTGTAATTTATGCCTAATGTCCAGAAAAACAAACAAACAAGAATAACTGAATAAAAGTCCTTGAAAAATCACTTCGTTAATAAATGCTTTCAAATACTTTGTGGATTATTTGCATGATGATAATTTAATCAAGGTGGAAGACACTCATGCTTAAAAATTACGAAGTTTCTTCATATCACAGTTAAGAACCTTAAATGCAATCAAAATTATTTGAGAGTTTTTTCTCATATCAATGTAACATTATTTTGCCTTTTGAAATGAAAAGCAGGCATTAGCTTTTATTTAATAATTAATAGATGTATTGTCATTATATAGTATCTTATGTTTAAATAGAGCTTCCTAGTTAAGTATTTTCATATATACTATCTCGGTTAATCTTCACAACAATTCTGTAAA